ACACACACACACACACACACACACACACACACACACACCTCTTCCCTGTGACCTGAAGCTAATTCCCATTGTCACCACTAGATGTCAGACTTGGGCCTATCTAGAACAGCTTCATTGCGGAAAGAGTATCAAACTGGAAAGGGCTGCGTGGGGCTGCACGGCCCACCGCCAGCTCATAAACGGCTTCACTGGAACGCAGCCACCCTCGCTCGTTCAGGTACGTCTGCGACCACTGTGCCGTGCCGGGACACGGACTTGTACGGCTGGCAGAGCCTGAAGTATTTATTACCTGGCCCCTCTGGGGAAAAGTCTGCCAACTTCCGGCACTGGGGAAGAAGAAAACCCCAAACAAATGAGAAGAGCAGTTTTTAAAAATAAAAATGTAGCTTTTTCTAAATACTACTGATGTAATTATATAAACGTGGCAAGTCACTGAAGGCACACAATCTGAAAAGTAGCTGTTCTTTACTAAAGGTTTTGCAAATTGTAGTCACAGAAAGAAAGCGTGTGGCTGTGTCCTCCAGGACGATAAACAAGGAATATTTGGCCCTTTTTCAGTATCTCCTCCCCACTATTTACATTCAAATATTACTATTAACTTATTCAAGTCCCCGAATAGTTACATAGATTATCACTTGGCTTTTTTTGGTTTTAAGATTTGTCTTTTAAAGGAAGCTCTACGTCCAACGTGGGGCTCGAACTCTGACCCCGAGACCCAGGAGACGCTTGCTCCACCGGCTGAGACAGCCAGGTGACCCCTGAAGTTGGCTTTTGTTTGCCTCTTGCAACCTCTAAGACAGAACATGACTATACATAAGGCAACTTGGTTCTTTCTCCTGCTTTATAGTACCAACTCTAAAACGTCTGCAGAAAAACCTAAAATCTCAGACAGTTCTAAATCTCGTTCTTAGTCCCTGAGCTATTATACTTTCATTATGACACCGTACCTTCAACGCTACCTAAGAGCACTTTTACTGGCATTTTAAAATATCTTTCATTTTGCCAGTTGAATTCACACTTTTACTCAGCCTGCAGACAGGTTTACAGTGTGTACTTCTGAGAGCTCATCACCCCACACATCTGCTCTTGTTTTTCTGGGCAGGTGCACATGCAGCACGTGAACAGTAACAGAACGAGCGGACATTTCCAATTCAGTCTCTTGGGAGAAGGGTGTTGCTGATAAGAGAGCCTCTTGGTGGTCAGTCTTTCCCTCACTGCCTTACCCAGAGTGGCCGAGTGCAACCAAATAGGTCAACAGCAGGGAAGTCTGTCGGTTTTCCTGTTGACCGGCGCGGCACACACGAGGCTTTCCCCTCCAGAACCACAGCGCTCACGCGAAACTGCGCTCACCTGCAGAAACACCCTCTTTGGCTTCGGACTGGCGGGATGCGAGCTGTATGGGAAAAACGCCCCACTGCAAACGAGGAGAAATGTAACCACACACACCAGAGTTAAACTCTGCATGGTTCTCTTCGTGCTTCTGGCAAGGTAGATGAAGTTAATCTAAAACACAAAACGCAGAAAAGGAAAAATTACCGTCGGCAGAGAGGTGCTTTTAAGCTGCCCTTCACTTGGGAACCGGGGTCACCCGACCAGCCGTGAAGAGCGCTCGTCGGCGTGGCCGGCTCCCCGCAAGTGCCCGCGAGCAGGCTCGACTTCCGGGGGCGGGGGGCTTCCATCATGGGCGGCGGGTGCAGAGACCAGGGCCGCCCCCACCAGCCACGATGGTGCCTGCGACAGGCAACCAGCCAGCGAGAGGGGCAAGGAAACAGTCAGGGTCTCGGTGCGGTCGGCAAAGAACCAGGATGGAGACCCAACGCCGGTCAAACCGTGACCTCGCTTTACCTCTCTGATCCTCTCGACGCCCCTAGTTAACCACTACACAGTAGACCCCAATTATCTACCAAACATCATGACATCACGTTTTTATGAAACAACTGGAGGTGGGATTTTAAGCATAAGCAAGCCCATTTCAACAAAACTCAAGTTCCACTCCGAATGCTTTTGTAATGTGCCAACGTGCCGGCTTCATCTAAATTTGCATTTAGATGTACCTTCAAGACTCTACCCGTGGGCCTGCACATAATGAAAATCTGTAGCACAAAGTAACACGGTCCCCTTGGGTGCTCAGTAACCAGAGCCAACGCCGTCTAAAACAGCAGATCTGAACTTGGGCAGGAAAAGCAAGTGGCTTGGTCCCAACGTGGGCATCTAGAACATCCTATATATGCTTCCACGAGCTTTTTAATGGTAACGAAATCATTGAAATAAAAGATGTCTACAGATCCCTTAGGGGTTCGGAAGGAGCCACACTGATCCAATCCCTGCTCCCCCTTCCACTCACCCTCCAGGCTTGATAAGAGTGAAGAACATGAATGTGAAAAATCAGGCAAACATCCACAACCAGCCATGTCCTCTGCTACATAAAATTAGGTTTTGTACCTACAGTGCCCCAGTATCTCATCCGGGGTAACATCCAGCAAAACAGTACTGGTCTCAGGACTAAGACCTTACATTTTCTTTTTAAGAAAAAAAAATTTTTTTTTAATGTTTATTTACTTTTGAGAGAGACATAAACAGAATGCGAGTGGGTTCGGGCAGAGAGAGAGGGAGGCACAGGATCCCAAGCAGGCTCCAGGCTCCGAGCTGTCAGCACAGAGCCCAACGCGGGGCTCAGACTCATGAGCTGTGAGATCATGACCTGAGCCGAAGTCGGACACTCAACCGACTGAGCCACCCAGGCGCCCCAAGACCTTACGTTTTCACACGGCAAGCACAGAAACAAGATAGCACCCAAGGAGCTGGGGTGGCGGGGGGACAGTGAGTTAGCAAAACACAATCTGTAACCCTGTCTGTCCCTCTCTGTCCTAACAGTCATGGTCCTTTAACATGTGGCTCCTCGGCACAGTGTCAAATACCCTGCCAAGTCCTGGCGCAGAGTCTCTCGGGACAAGATACAACCTCCCCACCACATGCTGTGCTTCCTGCCACCTCCACCCAGCTCCTACCCACAGCTGTCCTCAAACCTCCATGGAGGCTACAGTCTGCACATCCATTCCCTCTTCTCCAAACCGTGAGGCTCATCTTCTGCCCTGTCCCGCATTTTCTGGACGCGGTTTGGTAACGGGGGTGAGTGAAATGCAGTCCCAGAGCAGAAGAGGAGGAGGGGGGCCTGTGTTTGCATCCCGCTCTCTTAAATTTCACTTTTATTTCTGCCTTAAATGTCCCATCTTCCATCACTCTAGGTTCTGAAATGGGTGCAAAATAAAACAAAGAGAAGCGCAAGAAGGGTCTGCGCGGCATGCGCACGTGTGAGCTGTCTCGTTCCTCGTGAGGGTCCTGATGTCACTGAGCACCACCCGGGACACCTGCTACCCCACTGCCAGACAGGAGAGTGCCTGCTTCCTGGCAAACATACTATAAACCCCCAAGGACTGAAAGGAACGCTTTCTGAAATCCGCATTCCGATTCAGTTCTCCACGATCCGAGGAGCGCAGGCCGCCTCTGCCTCAGCCACTCCGACCGCTACACGTCAACATGGAATCATGACTGACGCCACCAGTGTCCAAGAGCCACGCGGCCACTTCACGTGATGATGAAAACTAAACGAGGTTTCCGGGTATTCCAGCAGGCGTTCTCCTGAGGTTTTCCTAGTAAAATCTAACCTAGCAGGTGATATACTTTAATCCTCTCCCTATGCTTGCTAAGATTTCCTCACTTTGGAGTCATTTTCAGTCTCCACAGTGAAGATTTCAGGGTTTATTTTGTCCAGTTCCACGTGGGACAGAACTGAAATGCCCCACATTCTGATCATCTCCTATGAGCCTTCATCCACTGGCCCTGATTTAAATACACTGGGGACCCAGTTTCTAACTGAGCTGATTCTGGATCAGAACCTCATCTGCGTATGATGAAACCCCACCAACTCCGTTCACCTTCACAGCAGCAAAACCATCCACTAACACGTACAGAGAATTTAAAGGCTTAATATTAAAACCAAAGGAAGTAAACCCTGCAAACCACAAAGAACAGTTTAGAATTTTCCATCCATCCACCCCCCGAAAATGCCAGTAAGGACTTGATGATTGTATTACAGGCACAATGGCTGGAACGCTCAAACTTCTTTCAGCTGAGCGCAAGCAACAGTGTGCAGAAGAAGCACTCTCCTGGGCTAGATGCACAGGTGCACGTACAACTCTTTACGGCCTCCTTAAGAGACTTCCGTGGATGATGCGGGCCACGCACGTGGTATTCTTACGTGCTGTCTCTCAATCCTGACCTCCATGAGATGTCCTTTACTGAATGGGTGTGGAAAGGCCCACCATCATCTCCGTGGAGGAAAGCACTATAATAAAGTCACAACTACTCTTCTGTGTAGTCCCCTAGCTGCACATCCTGCAGTGTGCCTATGGGCGTTCAGTAGTTGCTTCCTATTCTTCCCAATTCCAATGGAAAGAGCCACAACACAGACGCCTGACTCCACCAGCGGGGCCAGACCGGAGTCCTGGAGAGTACGGACGCCGTGCCGAGGGCAGAGCTTGCCCAGAGCCCGCTCTAACATGGGGGGTCCGCGTGGGGTCTGCCTTCTCTCTGGACAGCTGCAGGGAGGGCAAAGGCAGGACTGTCCCTGTAAGGGCAGAACGCCGACACCAGAATGACAAGGCCTGTGACGCTCTGCATCATACGTGTCTGCCACCCGAGGAGAGGGGCTCCGTTACGAACTCTGCGGCCCCAGCAGCCAGGAGGCTGAACGGTAACGGAAGGAGCCTCATCAGAACCAGTCTTCCTCCGCCAGCTCTAAAAACACTAATAACACCACCACGTATTTATTAACCTTTGCCTCTAATTAGGAATTGTTCCAAAAATCCACCACCAAGCAATCTCTACCAGTTCTCACCTGGTGTGCGTTCTCCAAATTCACGTTCAGCTGGTTTGAAGGCTGTGAGGAGAGGTACGACCAGAGGACTCGGGAGGACCAGGACGCAAAACTAAAACCCCATTTCCCATCTTCTTACCACACCAAACCTACTTTCTGCACACACGTGACTGTTTCTTTTGCTTAAGTGTTTCCAAGTATAAGCAACACAATTTCACAGAATCGACTGTGGCTAAACTCATCACATATTCATATAAAGCATACAGGAAGAACTATTTTTTAAATGTCATTTCCTTACAAAATAGGAAGACAGGATCATCGTACAACCAGCCAAAATGGAAGCCAGCACAACGTCAGGTGGGATTTCTGTACCACTCCTCCCAAGGATGGGGGTAAACATCTCGAATACTGCCCAGATGAGGTACAGTGCGTAAAGATAAGGAACAAACATCCCCGAGAGGTACAAGGCAATAAATTTTCCTTGGGCACCTAGGGAAAAAGAGAAAGAAATCACACATCTTTGAAATTCCACAGTGAGACACAGATTTGCATAGCACTGCTGTACCTCACACAGAACATTTCACTCAGGGACGTTAAAATACAAGTAAGAATGAAATGGAACGTAGGTAATACATCATGCATTCATAAATGTGAGAATGGGATGGGGTGTAAGGTAGAAAATAAACATTCGTGTGATCTGAAAATTTTAAAAAAACAAAACAAAAAAAAAAAAACAAAACAAACACAGCAAGAATCTTGAAACCCTAGCCCAAAAGACCAAAAAAAGAAACAATTCCCGCAAGTCCTGTCTTATTCATTTTAAGGTATTTTCCCATTTGCATAAAAACCCAATATACCCTACCATGCCGCTTAAAGTCTTTGTGCGTGCAAAACTTTGTGAGCAAGGGAAACGCCACCCAGACAGCACTAATAAACGCCGAGCAAAGTCCTTGAGACGTGAGAGCCGTAAGGGAAACACAGTGCACAAACAGCGAGATGTCAAAGAACACTTCTCCCAGATACCGGTCGCTGGCATTCTGAAAGAAAGAGAGATATACCAGTAATCTCATTCATGGGCATTCATAAAGATCTAATATTGTGATAAAATCTCCATCGCTCAGAAGAGTTATTTTGTTTTAAAGAGCATTTTAAACTTTAAGTAAACACTACCTCCTGTCATGACGTAACAGATTTAAATTGCTGCACAGGAAAGGGGCATTTAGGAAGATGGGGTAAAAACATTACTCGTGGGGTGTCTGGGTGGCTCAGTCGGTTAAGCTTCCAACTCTTGGCTGGTTTCGGCTCAGGTCATGATCTCACGGTTCGTGGGTTCAAGCCCCGCATTAGGCTCTCTGTTGTCAGCGTGGAGCCTGCTCCAGATCCTTTGTCCCCTTATCTCCATCCCTCCCCAACTAGCGCTCTCCTCTTCCCCTCTCTCTCTCAAAAATAAACGCTTAAGAACAAAACAAGATATCATTACTCGTAGGCAATCTGTGCTTTTCTTCCACTGGGCTAAAAGGAACCTTTGGAAATTTCCTAAAATAGATTTAGGAAGGGCTCTCCTAAAAACATACACCCCTGTAGGCTTTTCTAGTTTTGCAGCTTCCAAAGGCGAGAAGGGACCTGCGAAGAACAGCGCCACCAGCAGCACGCCTGGAAAACTGCAGGCCCTTCGGGGACCTGGCCCTCTGGGGTCTGGCTGGGTTCCCATGTCTCTTCCTCCTCTAACTGGTCTTGTGGTGCAGCTCGGCCCCGCCCTGACTTCCTGGTGCCTTCACGTTCAGAAATGTGATCTGTATTTCTGGGCTTTGAGGTCTGAGGAGTCCCGTGAAGCACCCCGAGCGCCTCAGAAGAAAGCTGCCGTAAGAGCTTCATACCTGTGAACGTCTGCACCGGGGATTCCATTAACATGACCAACAAAGTTACCACTGCAGCGCAAAAACCCCAAAATTGGCACGTGGGTTACTTCGAGAGCTCAAGACAGCTTCGGTCACGAGTTTTCAAAACCTGTTCAAGTTCTCTCGACAAACCCGCTCAGAAATGAAAGGCTATCGCTGCTGCACTTACACGTACAACGCAGCGTGAAGAGGCACAGTCTTCAAAAATAATTTAGAGGAAAACGGCACTTAGGATTCGATCTCAAGCCGAGTACCACCCAGATATGTAACTGTACTCAGAGATCAAACAGACGCCCCTCAAGTCTGGCTCCCCTCTCTCACCTCTGATCCCTGCCACCTGCCCACTGCCATCAGTCTCTACGCTGTCACAGTCACTCGCGATCCTACTCAGAAAACGTTACTGGCCGCCTCACTGATCCTCAGGGTCGTGCTCCGGCTTCACGCTGGCCTGCTCTTCCGGTTACCGTGCCACCGCCTCATGTTCACCACGCTGAGCTTACTGACCGTGACCCAAATGCATCCTGGGCGCTCCCACCTCTGACCGCCATCTGCCGCACTTCCGCTCCTGCTTCAAAACCCAGTTCACACGTCACCACCTCGTTCACAAAGCCTTCCGACCTCCACAAACCGACTCCTCTCTCCTGGCCCCGTACCGCTCCAGCCGAACAGGCCGTTCTCTCACCTCATCCCAAGGTACTGCGAACGAGGGTCTCCCCCAGCCCCCCAGATGAAGCTGTGAGCTCCTCCAAGAGTCCCGTCCTTATGAATCTCTTCCCACCGGGCCGTCGCAGGCGGCCAGGCCCACCAGGCAGCTCTGAGAATAGTTGTGAAATGCGACCCGTCTTCCCTTCCACTGTGCTTTCAGCCCCAAAGTTCATGATCAGACAACTGAAATTAGTCCAAGTAAATGGAACTTTACTCGTAAGCATTTCTGTCTCTGGCCCCCCTGCCTCATTAACAACGACCCCCACACCCGGGTAACATACCACTGCACTAAGAATAAGCACATGAACTTGAGTCCCACAGCACAATCTCTTGGACACGGAAGCCACAAAGACACAAGTATTAGTTCATCCATAAACAGACGGCTAGCTTCAAAGGGCCTCTCCTGGAGGTTGGCATGGAAGCGGTCCTCAGACCACAGCCCAACATCAACTGAAACGGAGACCAAGGTTCATCCACGGTCTAGCACCAAAGACATCCTTGTGGAAAGACGCCGGATTACCTAACCTTCTGTCTGCATTCTAATCCTAGCAGGGCAAACGGAAAGAACAGGTGCACATTGGCTGTCTTGAAAATAAATATGGGAGCTAACAGATTTTTCCCTTTAAGTCACTTAGAAACTCTTTAGAAACCATGGGTCACTTTTGCATTGTAGTTTACTGTGAGTCCTGTTATACGGCTGAAACCGTAACAATATGGGGATATTCTCTGCATCAGCATAGATCATTCTGGAACCCTATCACTCTTCCCTCTTTTTCCCCTAGGAGGTGTCCTCCCCCTGCCACAGCACATCTGCGTGCCGTCAGAATCTGCATTAACACACAGGCTAAAAGGGAAAAAAAAGTGAAGGAAATGGAAGAGAAACCCCGAGTGCAGCTTCAGGGCAACATGCTTCCTGCGTGTCAGTGCCCTGTGTCCGAGGGGCCCGGGCACCAGCGACGAGGAGCACGGCAGCCGGGCCCTCATGGCGCTCAACCCACGGCCCAGCGGAGGACCGAGCCACTCACAAGAGGAACGGGCGAGCCGGGGGAGGGCTGGGGGACCCAAGTGCACAGGGGCACACCGAAGCAGATTCGGCCTTGCTGTCACAACCACCCAAACGCCTCACAGCTTGATAACGGCACCGAAGCCTGCAACAAAACCCTCCAAAGCAGCAGCCTTCCAGAACCCGAACACGGTTCTGGGAGCCAGTCTTCTACAATCATGCCAAACCATTTCTGACGCCTCCACAGGCCAAATACAATGAATCCCACCAGAGTCTGTCTCCAATCCCTGCAGGCGACAAAAAAAAAATCAATAAACATGCCTAACACTTACCATGTAATAAAATCTTTTTGCGAGGGTATGGATGAGGATTATTTTGGCTGCGGCTGCGGTTCCATACAGACAGACGGACACGTAGAAGTGGTTATACCACGAGAGAGACCGTCCGATGAGAGAGACGAACACCGCTATAATGAGCACGGTAACCAGGCTGGTGAACCAGCTCACGAGAGTGATGCCGAGCCCGCAGAAGAAGTCCTTCGTGTAGTTACCAGCTGGAGACAGAACACAACGTGGACGTCACCAGCTTTATCAAACCAGTCTCACAAGCAGTAGAGTCAAAAGGGCAAACTCAAAACAAGGCAAAACAAAACATCCAGCACTGTAACTGCAAAGTACTGAAAAGGCCCTGGGGCGAGGTTTATGACAAACCCGAACAGGGAAGGTTACTGACGAATCATATCCATGTAGCGTTTACGGGGAGTCTGTGGGCGCCAAACACCCGGGGACGGAAGTGGCCAGGAGCGGCTCCGACACACTCCTGACCAGGAAAGCGGAGAGCTCTAGCCTTCGCCACCTTTGCGATGCTCTGCGTAAGGAAACACCGGCCTGAACGGAAGGCAGAGCTCCCCGGGAAATCGTGCCCGGAAGCTAAGGCCGGAGCCGCAGGGCTGGCGAAGTAACGGGGTAAACTGGCCTGAACTGCGCAGCCCACGCATGTTAGCTCGTCACGGCCCAGACCCGCTTCGACAATGAAACGTTCTAAGGAGAAGGAAACCAACGTAACCACACTTGCTGGAGTCGGTGCGCTCACGCCCGGTGTGATGGGTGCACGAGACTTTTCAACGGGAGTTTTCACTCACAGTCAGTGTGTACAAAACCACTTTTCGATAGCCCCTCCGTGGTGCTTCTGTGTATCAGGTACACAAAAACATCCTGCTGCCCCAAGACCAGAAGTGTAACGGGCACGTCCATCTGATACCATTTGCGAACGTCTTCCAATATACATCAAATGTTGTTTTTCTTTAAGATTTTAGGCTTCCTGAAAAACTTCACGCAGATTCTTACACCCAGGCCAGTATTGCAGTTTTAGAGAAAAATACTTACTCCTCTGTTTGGGCCGCAACCATTTTTTGCCCAGGTACAACACTGCGGCCGTCACCACCATGTAGTTAATTATGGAGCCGACGCGAGAGGGGTAGGCAATGACAAATAGGCCAAGCACGTCAAAGAAGACCATGTGTCCATGGCGATACTGTGAAGAAGAAGGCAACACATCCGACGTAGCTAGATATTTAAGAACCGCTAAAATGTTGTCACCTATCAGTAAAGAAAAGAAAGACAACAGAGTTGAATAAGCCACGCGCTGTTTGACAGAATGTGAACGACAACAGTTTCCCACCCTCTCCATCTCCCCCGGCCACCTTTCTCATGAAATTTCTCAGATGAGGCCCAGGCCTCCGCTCTGTCTCCTTTCCACTCGGAAGCTCGGCCACCTGGCCTTCATCTCTCCGTTGTCCCAGAACTGTGCTTTCCCTGCTGTTATCGAACCCAAACGCTGCTGCTCATTCTGTTCACTTAACGGGTATCTCACGTAACAGCCACCGCTCTGGTTACCAGAAATTCGGCGCCGACCCAAAAGACACAAAGCCTGTCAGGAGGCCCGCAGGCACCGAACAGGGAATCACACGTGCCTTGAGAATAATGAGCGTCGATTCTGTCTCAACTCAATAAAGAGAAGTACGGGCATCCCGTGGAGTCTGAGAGGTTAGGGAGGCCTTTCTGTGTAGACACTCCTTGTCAAGCGCTTCCGTCCAGGCCGCCGCCACGGAAGGACAATGGGAGCGCCCGCCCACACGGACAGACCAAGTCCCGAACGAGAGTCCAGGGGCAGAACCAGACTCCCCAGGGGGGTTCGCTCACCGACAGAGCGGAGGAGTCTGAACCGAACACAGGGGCAGCGACAGGCCTTGAACCACCGACGGGCAAAGCCCCTGCCGCTCATCCCCCCCCTTCCTCCGCCATCCACTTACACACCACACCACCTTATCGTGGCATTTGTGTCACGGGCTCGTCTGCCTTCAGATATGCTTTCGCCAAAAGCTCAGGCTGAGTCCTCTGTTCCAAAAACCGTTTGTGGCTTCCTCCAAGTCCTTCACGCCCACACCCGCATTCCCAGTTCGACCGAACGCTCTCCCACCACAGCGCGATTTCCACTGGGCCGCTTCACAGAGCCCCCGTCTCCATCGGACGGAGTTCACGTCTCCTCCCTCCACGACTGCTCCGGGTCAGGTCACCTCCCCATGTTCCTATTACAGCCGATGGCACGTCCTTCCCCAGCCGGCTGGGCCCTACACTTCGCAGCCGTCCCTGCTGCCGGCCACCTGACCCGTCCCTTCCTTCTGACCGGGTGGCTCTTCTGCGACTTCCATTCAGACCTCAGTCTGCCACTCTCCTCACCGACGGTCCACACGTGCACACACACACACACACACACACTACTCTCGCTCTGCTCTTGCCCGGAGCATCCTCTTCTATGCGGGGCGGGGCCACATCCTACCAACTTGTGAGTTAAGGTTCACGGTCAGCCGCCCCTCCCCTGACTACTCCAGACCTCTCTGAAAGTACGTGGACTCCCTTGCCCTGTGTGGTCCTGACACTCATTCTAGAACCCACTCACCTGCCCTCATACCTGACCTGGACTGATGGAACTTTTCTCCACCTGGGCAAACTGCCCAGACACGTGCCTGTACCTCCTCCAACATATGCCTTCCATTCTGGCTACATGCCCGTTGCTCAGCAATCCTACGTTAACCCTGGGCCCGCTCTCTTTCCAGTGCCTCACCACCAACAATCTTATGTTCTTAGTTGCTAATCTAGACTTCAAGGCTAAAATTCGGGCCCTCAACTCTAACTGCAAAGCCCCACCCGGCTCACGCACACCACAGGCCGCCTCCCTGAAGCACAGTCCCCGGGGATATTTACAGGTTTGCAGGTCAGCCCTAACATTCCATCTTAACACAGATCACGAGTTTACATTTGAATACCAACCTGCTCTCTGAATGGAATCTGTCAGAATTCTGTCTGCTGTGTCGTACTTGGTGTGATAGATGTATCCGTTCTCAATAAAAGCTAAGTCAATTCCTAAGACACACAGGAGAAAACAAACAAAAAAACACGTCATTTGCTTTAAAGATCAACCTTTCTTTAGGCCTATTTGGTTAATGTATCAAATTCCAAAAAGACAAAACGTCAAAGCAGGGACATGACTGCTTGGTCACACTTGTGAATGAATACCATATAAATTCTCTTCCAAATTCTTACAGAATCTGTAGCCATGGTACATAATGACCGAAGAAGTACACACGTCGGGGAGACATTGTAAGTCACACGGCAAGGGGTGGGAACACAGAGCTCAGGAGGCCATCGAAACTTTGCCATTTCTAGCCCTGCCGGGCCAGGCCGAACTCTAGATTCCCAGCAGCGGCACAAGCCGCCGGGGAACTGGCAAAGACAGACCACAGGCAAAGTCAAAGGCCCCTCAAGGAGGTACTGCCACCTGTGGGGAATGAAGTGCTAACCAGCTGCCCCCCCCACCCCCGTCCCATTCTGCCGCAGTGTGGGGCAAGACGACATGTTCTAGAAAAGGCAAGCATTTAAGTAGACCAGAGTTTAAAAGGAAAAAAAAAAATGCCAGGAAATCAGTTTCAGTGAGTCAGAATATACAGTTCTCCCGTAGAAAACATGCTTTCAGAAAAAGATGTTTACTCACAAACTCTCAAAAAACAAAACTCGCTACTGGTTAATTGCCGTCACGCCACAGCCCACGACAAATACCTGGTATGTTCCCAAAATCCCTGTAGATGCGGAAGTCGGTGTCTGAAGGAATGATCCCACTCTGGAAAACCTCCTGGGCCACCACTGACGCAAACGGGTGTTTAGCGGCAGAAACATAGGCCTGGACCAGCCACGGGTTTTCAGGACCTACAAGGACAGGCGAGGACTCAGGCAAGGGAACGTGGTCATGTTTTAACACATCCAAAACGGTCCTGCGGTGGTCTGGGGAGGCAGGTCCAGACTTTGTTTTCGTCTTTTTTTCTGTGTTTTCTAACACTTCTCTGATAAGCGTATGCAACTTTCACAATGAGAAATCACCTTTCAGAAAGCAAAATTATTTTTAATTATAAAGTAACTGCACTATGAAAAGTTTCAGTTTAAAAATGAGAACCCACACAACAGTCCATCATTCTACGACAAGCACTGTCACTTTTCCATCTTCAGTTGTCCTACAAACATCTGGTTGTGTGTACACAGCTGTACTCACAGGACACGTGCAGTCTGTCCACTGTGCTTTCGTTTAACAGACTGAACACGTTCTCCTGAGTTGCCAGGTACTACAATTACCATTTTAATAGCTACAACTTTTCTCTGAAAACACCCTAAGTTTTGTATTATTACCGTTTATATTTTTTATCATTATTCATAATTCCGCATAACATCTTTACGCATATACGGCTTTTTCAAATGCGGGAGATTTTTCTTTGGGACGGTGAGATAAACTGTATTATTGCTCACGGCTACTCTCTGCTCCCTCCCACGTGACTCATCACGCCTCCCGCAGAAGGAGCACGTCCACATCCTCACCCTGTTCCCTGCAGGTGCGGCCCTGGAAACTGCTCTGGCCAACAGACTGTGAGCAGAGAAATATGACCCTCAGCCAAGAAGATGCTCAGGGACCATCACACAGTCCCTCCCGCCTGCTGACTTTGGCCAGGAGATCAATATGTCCCTGATGGACGCTTCTCCTTTAGTCTGGGTCCCATAACGAAGGGCACACATGGAACAAAACCACGGAACGTTCGTAAGCACAGTTATTCAGGAACCAAAACGTACTGAACAAGATATAAGCCTTTGCTGTTGTAATCCACTGAGATTCAGGGATTGTTCGTTCCAACAAAATTTAGCAAAAAGTTGACTCTGATAGGCACATCAACTCATTGTATTTCAGGCAATCTAAGAATATCAAGATATTTATAACTTTATAAACAAATAATCAAATTGCTTTCCTACTGAAAAAATGATCATAAAAGGCGGAGATGGGGTGCAGTGTAACACTACAAAACCAAACGCCCAGGTGACCCAGATACTCGTCACCAGACACGGATTTTAAAACAACTATGATGAATATGTTCAGAAACACAGCAAGAATTTTACAAGTGCAATCTATCAAAAAAAAAAAAAAGGAGTCAAATGGAAACCCTATAAAAACTGATGTTAAGAATTTTAATAGATGGTTTACTACCAGGTTAAACACAGCGGAAGAAAGGATTATAGAGCAACAGAATTAGGACATAGAAAAAAAAAAAAAAGGATGGAAAATATAGAAATGTATGGAAGAGACATATGTGGCACAGTTAGTTCCAGAAAAAGAGGACACAGAATGGAGCAGAAGCAACGTTCTGAAGAAGTAACAGCCCATAATTTTCTAAAAGTCATAGAAAACATCAAACTATGAATTCAAAACGCTCTATAAACCCCAAGCAGGATAAATACAAAGAAAAAAATAGACCTAGCATTAAGATCTTTGCTTTTTTCTTTTTTGACACCAGTATTTTTTATTTAAATTCTAGTTAGTTAATACACAACCCACTGATTCCTCGCTGATAGACAACACCCAGTGCTCATCCCAACAAGTGCCCTGCTTGACGCCCGTCCCCCACCCAACACCGTGCCAGCAACCGTCGGTCTGTTCTCTGTATTTAAGTCTCTTATGGTTTGTCTCCCTCTCTGTTTTTATCTGATGTGTGCTTCCCTTCCCCTGTGTTCATCTGTTTTGTTTCTCAAATTCCAAGTATGAGTGAAATCACAGGATATTTGTCTTTCTCTGACTTACTTCGCTTGGCATAATACACTCTAGTTGCATCCACGTTGTTGCTGTGGAAACAGTATGAAAGTTCCTCAAAAAAAAAAAAAAGTTAAAATCAGAACTACCCTACCACCCAGCAAGATCTTTGCTTCTGAATACCATTATCCACTAAAAGGAGGTCTCCTTAGGAAATGGCTAATCCCAGCTCCGGAGCTAGGAAAGTACAAAAGTAGTCGTGCCAGGAGTGAGAAGTGCTCCAAGAAGCACCTCCGAAGGACGCAAGCTGCAGGGGAAGGGGCTACCGCTGGCCTAACTGGAGACAATTCATGCGTTAAGATGGCAGCAACAGGGGCGCCTGGGTGGCGCAGCCGGTTAGGCGTCCGACTTCAGCCAGGTCACGATCTCACGGTCCGTGAGTTCGAGCCCCGCGTCGGGCTCTGGGCTGATGGCTCAGAGCCTGGAGCCTGTTTCCGATTCTGTGTCTCCCTCTCTCTCTGCCCCTCCCCCGTTCATGCTCTGTCTCTTTCTGTCCCAAAAATAAATAAACGTTGAAAAAAAAATTTAAAAAGATGGCAGCAACAGAATACATCATCCATAAAATAAAAACACATGAAACATGGAAATAAATACACAAACAAGGGAGAAGAGAAAGTCTTCGAGAACTCCCAACTAATAGCTACAGACGAAATGATGGAGCCAGAACTCTAAATACCTGGCTAACATCACGTAGAAATGCTTTGGAGCAAGAATCTCAATGTCTGCTGAAACAGGATCAAAGTCTCACGAGAAACAAGGCAGGTACAGTCTCAGAGGGCCTATCACAAAGGTGAAAGCAGTTAGAAAAACCGGGCAAATACCATCATCAAATGACCAGAAGTTACCATCATCAGCGTCCAGACAGACAGGAGATGCCTCCCGACAGGATGCACGGAGGACACAGATGTGAAAGGAGAAAGGGAAACAGCAGTGAGAAAACCTAGGTGATCAAATCTTACCATGTTAAAATACTATTACTATTACAATCAGATGTTAATAACCAAAGGTATACTATTAAAATACTATGAAGGAGCACCGGGGTGGTTCAGTCAGTTGAGCGCCCGACTTTGACCCAGGTCATGATCTTATGCTTCATGGGTTCGAGCCCCGCATCAGGCTCTGTGCTGACAGCTCAGAGCTTGGAGCCTGCTTGGATTCTGTGTCTCCCCCACTCCCCGCAACCCTCTCCCACTCATTCACACATGTGCGTGCTCTCTCTCTCAAAAATAAACGTTAAAAAATTTTTAAATAAAATACTATGAAAACCATATGAAAAACAGGCAAAGCTAAACTAGAAAAGAGAATATCCTGAATAGCAGGACGATAATGCTACTCTGACGTGAGAGAGCAGGTGCTGTATCTGAGAAGGGGCCGGTGACAGCCACCTGCAGGGTGTGACAGGAGCCTGGCTTCTCACCTGGGGCTCAGAGGTATGCACCTCACCATGACTAAGTTTTACACTTCTGTATTTGTGATGTGTGTGTTATAGAATCACTGTGATACAGCTAATAAAACATGACAATAAAATGCTATTTGATCCTGGATTAGAGCTCTGATTTAAAAAAAAAAAACAACACAAAAACAGGGGTGCCTGGGTGGCTCAGTTGGTGAAGTGTCTCCCGGTTTCAGCTCAAGTCATGCCTGATCTTGGGGTTCATGAGTTCGAGTCCCAAGTCAGGCTCTGCACTGACAGCACAAAGCCCACTTGGTATTCTCTTTCTCTCCCTTTCTTTCTGCCCCTCCCTTGATCGTGTTCTCTCTCTCTCAAAATAAATAAACTTTAAAAAAAACAAAACAAAACTAGGTCATTATTGGAAATCATCTACTAAATAACGGTTTTATATTGTCATATTCTATGAACATCATAAATGTACTGTTATGAAGGGACATATCCTTGTTCTTTTTCTACTGAGATGATTATATTGAGATTATCAATTGAGATGGTTTTTCTCCTTTATTCTGATAATGTGTGAAATAGATTGATTTTCAAATATTAAACCATTCTCATTTAACCATTCACTAAAGTTGCAGGATATAGAATCTATATACAAAAATCAGTTACATTTCTCTACACTAATGATGAAGTATGAGAAAGAGAAATTAAGACAATAAATCCCACTTATAATTGCAACAAAAATAGTAATATACCTAGGAATAAACTTAACCAAGGAGGTTAAAGACCTGTCCACTGAAAAATTTTAAGACATTAATGAGAGAAAATGAAGATTATTTACTTCCACAGATAAATGGAAAGATGATATTCCATGTTCGGGGACTAGAAGACCTAATACTGTTAACATGTCCGTAATGCCCAGAACAATATACAGATTCAACGCGATCCCTATCAAAATTCCAATGGCATTTTTCACAGAAATAGAACAATTAAAAATCTGTATGGGAGCACAGAAGACTATGAATAGCCAAGACAATCTTAAGAACAACAATGCTGGAGGCACCACACTTCCTGATTTCTAATGATACTACAAAGCCACAGTAATCAAAACAGTAAGGCACTGGCATAAAAACAGATACACATCAATGGAATAGAAGAGAGAGCCCAGAGATAAACCCACACATACATGTTCAATCGATTTATGTGAAAAGAGCCAAGAACATACATATACCGGGAAAGAACAATCTCTTCAATAAATGGTGTTGCAAAAACTGGACAGCCACACGCAAAAGAATGAAATTGGAGCACTCTGACATCATACACAAAAATGAACTCAAGACTGATTAAAGATTTGAACATAAAACCCAAATCTAGGGGCACCTGGGTGGCTCAGTCAGTTAAGCGTCTGACTTCGGCTCAGGTCATGATCTTTGGCTTAGGTCATGTAAAATATGATCTGTGCTGACAGGTTGGAGCCCAAAGCCCACTTCAAATTCCATGTCTCCCTCTCTCAAAAATAAACATTAAAAAAAAAAGAAAAAAACAATGCGGGTTTAGTAATGTTCTTTGACATTGGTCTTGGCAATGATTTTTTGCATTTCACACCAAAAGCGAAGACAACAAAAGTTAAATAAATGGAAATATGTCAAGCTAAAAAGCTTCTTCATAGCAAAGGAAACCAACAAAATT